CCAAGGTGTCCTTTCATCGTTTTTGTATGTAAAGTGTTCTTAAATTACCCCTGCTTGCTCTTGAGTAAGTACAGTGGGGATTAGTCTGAGCTCTATACCACCATTTTGGATGCCTTGGGTGTGCTTTGCTGAAACAGTGAAATAGAACAGTTTTCTTTAGAGTTATGGGATTTTTATTGGGGGCAGGACCTTTGAGATTGTTCTGTTTAATTTGTTAACTTTACACGTGAAATACTAGCCTGAGGAAGTTAGGGACACACTCCAAGCCTAGCTGCCAGCACGTGCATGACAGGATAGGGACCCTGGTCGCCCCACAGGAAAACCAGCATCTAGACTGCGCCCAGCACTGCTTCTGCATTTGAGACAAAGATCCGGGCATATTTGTTCTCAATTCAAAACAATTTCTTCTTTTATTGGAAGAATTCTGCATACTCCTATAAATATCAGTCATTTTTTTCCTTTAGGAAAAAATCCATTCTTTAAGCAATCGAAATCTTATTTATGTTATGGTAAAGATGAAGCCAATAGCAGCTGGTAAGAGTTGTTCCTGAGTCTCTAGGTTATTTCTTGCTTATACCTCAAATTAGATAATTATCTGGTATCCTTACCTAGAAGGTTGGTTATAAGTCATTAGCAAGGATTAAACCCTAAATCCCTATCTACATTTTATAAGCATGTGTTACTCTTTCCTCTTACTTGAAGTTTATTGAACATTTAATGTAAAAACTTTGTGGTTGGATTAGAGAGCTGACATTTGGGGTGATACTGATAAAGGCATAATACAGTTACAGTTATTTATTGCTACATATTTGGGTCTTGGGAGATAATGTTTAAAAAAATTCGACATATGGAATGCATACTCATTGTAAAAAAGGAAAAAGTACAACATATAATGAAGCCATTCATGATTCCATCACCCATCACTGTTTTCATCGTCCATCATTCCAACGCCCATCATTCCATCACTCTTGCTTGGGCTTACAGTCTTTCAAACATTTCCTTATATACATATATATTTTCCCTAAATAAAGCAGTCCTAATGTTTATGTAGTTGGGTAAAATATTTCTGACTTTCTGTGTAGAACTATATTTCTTTACCATTTTTAATTGCTCCATTGTATTCAGAGATTTCATTTTAAAGAACTTGAATGGTAAATTTTGGGGTATTTTCCTGCAGTCTTGTGGCATTACCAATAACATAATAGATGGCAAAAATTGAGAGAAGGGTTTAGTGATGCAAGCTAGAGAGCTGAGAATGATTTTGTACTGCCGCTCGAGGCTTGCATCTAAATATTACTCCATCTCTGAGGGTTCCAGCCAAGGCACTCAGCTGTTCCTGGTGACTCAGTTGCAGATACGGCTGAGAAACTGGAGGACCCAGAGTTGGGTGAGGAGTGAAAGGAGGGATTGTCTGTTTGGCTTCCACAGCCAATGTGCCTCATTGTTCTACAGATCGCAAATTCTAAGAATTTCGTCTCTACCAAACACGAGCATCAAGAGATGATGTGCTGTTTGGTTTTTGTAAATTGGAAATTATCTTTTGGTGACCAAAGCATTTAAAATTGAGTTGTAGCCAGTGCGAGTTTACAGTGTATATGGAGCCATAAGAAAGGGAAAGGTACTCTCTTCTCTGAGGAATATTTTGAGCCATTTTATGTGATTATCAATATTGCCTCTTTGTGATAAAGATGTATTTTTACGTAAGTTCGTGTTCAGAACAAAATCTTGAATTAGGACCATGGGGGCTGAAAGGAGTGGGATTTGTTAGAGACACTGCTGGATTTGAGTCCACGAAGGCAAGTGGAAGGTCTGATAAAGTTCAAGTCTGAGCTCTAGGATAATGGAGATGTCATTACTGAGATGCTGGGATATTAAAAAACAAACAAACAAACAAAAAATTAAGGCCACCCAGTGGGTGAAATCATAGGAACATGAATAAAACATCCAGCAGTTTAGAAAACCAAGAGAAAGGCAGAAAGGTCCAGAGTGAGGACCTGTCTTCTGTCCTCAGCCCCCAGCTTCGGTCCAGATGGCACAGGGGAGAGGATGGGACCTGTGCAAGGAGGAACGATTGTCAGCACAGGAGTATTCACAGTGGGTGCTCCTTCCCTTGGAGGCAGAGCATGGACATCTGTGTAAGTGACATCAGCGGGCTCCCAAGATAATCAAGGTAGGAGTAGACACAGGGGCCAAGGAAATGGCGTTATGAGGATTTACATGGTGTGCTGGGAGTCCCTGCTGCTCAGAAACCTGGTTGTGGTCAGTGAAGAGAAGGTGAGACCGTTCAGTAGCCAGCACTGGACCTTACAGGTGTGTGACATGTTTATTTGGGGGAAAAGCTGGACGTTAGGAAGTGGGGAGGAGAAATTGGCTGGCTTTCTGAAACATGCCTTCTTTCCTCGGTGCATTTTGGCCAAAGGATGTGCCATCAATACCTCCAATTAATCCTTGTAACGAACTGAGTTGCCAACTATTTCTCATCTTTCCTCTCCTTATGTAGGGTTAGGGAAAGCATCAGAATGAAAGCATGCAGTATCTTATGTTGTTAATCAGCTTCTATGTTGGTCAGGTCACAGTGGATTTTGTGGAAACTGCACACATTATTGGTAGACTAAAATGGAAAACTTACCGGTCAGGAAACCCTGGTTGTGAGTGTACCATTTTCTAGCTCTGTGTGAGTGCACGTGTGTGAGTGCACGTGTGTGTGTGTGTGTGTGTGTGTGTGTGTTGACTAATGATATAATATTATGACCTATATAGATATAAATATTATTTCAGCAAATAAGCTGTGTTTCCATTACCCAATGCAAAAAATTAAACATTCCCATTTCAAATGAAGTCCCCTGGGTATCCCCCTCCTTCCTCTCAGATAACCATGTAATATTGTAGGCAGGTCATTTTTAACCTCTTCAGGTGTGATTTTAAAATCATAAGATGATAGCTGCCCTACTTAGCTCACAGGGTTATTGTGAGAATCAAGTGAGTGGTGACTGTGAAGGCACTTAGAAAATCTCAAGATGCTGAATAAAGGTCAGGAAGGAACCTGCAAAAGATCTGGTTTAGTAGTGTCTCGTGCCAGCCTGGGTAGGTACAGCTCAAGTGTTTGGTAAGCAGTGAAGGAACGGAATTCCATTTTCTCCATATCTTCTTTCAGAAAGTACAGGGTGTCCCCAAAAATGTATATACACTTAACAGCTGATAGCTCAGTTGATGTTTCTTTCTTTTCATGTTTAACCCATTGGGGTTAATAAGTATTCAAAGTGTGTGTACATTTTTGGGGACACCCTGTATTTTAATAAAGAAAAGCCAGTGATTCATATTCTTCAGAGTCCTGCGGTGTATATTCATTCAGCAGTTATTTACTGAGTACCCACTCTGTGTCAAGTACCTATTCCAAGCAGTGGGGATACAGCAGTGAACAAAATGAGCAAAGTTCATGCCTTTAAAACAAAGTAGAAAACTTTTGATCCTTTTTTAAAATATATTTTTTATTGATTTCAGAGAGGGAAGCAGAGGGAGAGAGAGATAGAAACATCAACGATGAGAATCATTGATTGGCTGCCTCCTGCACGCCCACAACAAGGCATGTTCCCTGACCGGGAATCAAACCAGGACTGCCTGGTTCATAAGGTCGATGCTCAACCACTGAGACACACCAGCCAGGCCTGTTTTGATCTTTTAATTTACATCATTTTTTTCCCCACAAATTCAGTCTATTAAAGACAATTTTTTTAATGCCAGATAATGCCGGCATTTGAGTTAGAATTTATTGTCCTTATTTTTGCCAGGTTGAGCTGAGACAGCTTTCTTCAACCCTGCAAAGTTTTAAACTTTTATCCCTTCCTTTGATTTGTGTCAGGGTGAACCGTTTGATGTAAGACTTGACTCCATAATCTACATCTGCCCTAATGCTGTCATCCGGAATAGAGACTCAGCCAGTTCCACTTGATTCCTCCATGTCTGCCGTGGTACAGGAATTATACTCGGCACTCCCAGTAAGTGTCTCCAAAGAGCTTCATGCTGACCCTGAGCCAAGTGTGATTCCAGATGTAAAACCTGGAGCCTCAAGCTCTCTTATAAGTCAGAGTAGGACAGTGCCCTTGGAGCTGCAGAGGACTCACGCGGGAAGTTGTGAAGAAACCTCTGAGACCTCGGATCATGGGGGAGCGCCTGGGCGGTGTGGGCTGGTGGACTCCACAGCAGGAGGCTCTGTGGCTTCTGGGATCTTGGATAGGGAAGAGAAAACCGAGAGCGTGGAGCTACAGGTCTTCAGAGATCGAGGGGACCAGGTGGAAATTGTAAGAGACCCCTGTGAGGGAGCAAAGGAAGACCCCTGTCAGCATTCCACAGCCTCTGAAGAAAAGATCAGCCCACGTCAGGTAAGAGATGAGCTGTTGATTCAGATGAGTTGAATATGAATGACAGCTTTCCAGAGTCACACTTCACAGGATAAAGTGTAGGTGCTGACAGGTAGCTTATGATTTATTCTTGAAACATTTCCAAAATGTTGATTTTGGTGTTAACTTCTTTGGATGATCTTTTAAGATAATAGACCCTTGCAGAGAGGAAGTGCTTATTTAATGAAAAAGTGTCACTTCTTTGAAGCAGCTATTGTATATGAAATAGTGAGTCTCTTTGTGATAGTCGTATTTCTGCATCTGATGTTAAGAAATTATGGGTACTTGTCCCTTAAGTTAGGGTAGTATCCTGTTTAGGGATAGCGTTGTGGAGTAAGATGTCACAGAGATATCTTTGAGGGAGGCTGTTGCCTCCCGCACGTGCCCTAGGTACATGCCCTTGATGGGAGTCAAACTTGGGACCCTTCAGTCCACAGGCCGATGCTCTATCCACTGAACCAAATCGGCCAGGAACTCTATTCCTTTTTAAAACCATCTCTTTTTTCCCTTCCAACTCCACCATAGGTAAATACAGTGGAACCTCGGTTCTCAAACTTAATTTGTTCCAGAAGGCTGTTTGAGAAGTGATTTGTTCAAAAACCAGATCATTTTTTTCCCATTAAAAATAACATAAATTGAATTAATCCGGTCCAGACCCCCGGAAGATTCCCTGTTTTAACCTTTCACAATTTCCTGATTGTTGTCTTGTGAGTACTTTCACCCTTTCGTAGCATCAGCACTCTTGGTAGCCTCTTTATGTTTTAAAATTGTGCTAATCATTGATTTTGCCATGCCATACTCGGTAGCCAGGTCAGACACGGTCTACATACTTTGCAATTATTTCTTTTTTAAGCTCTATTATTGTTCTCACAACTTTCCTTTTCACTTTGCTCCTATCACTAACTTTCTTAGGACCCATGGTGACTTATTGTACATATTTAATAATAACAAGCAACAACAAAAGCAGAAAACCCCACAAAATATTCACAGCACAATTTCCTGAGATGTTAACAACATGAGGTTTAGCAGTGAACTGACTCATACTCATGCATTCGCTCCTTTGTTTGTCGCCTGACAGGCGTGTGACTGAGCATACAGGTATCAGCATGAATGGGTTGTCAGGTTGAGAACCGAAGTTTTGTTCTACAACTAAGACATTTTTTCTGTGAACAACTTGGTCAAGAACCGAATTGTTTGAGATGGGAGACATCCGAGAACTGAGGTTTGACTATACTATAATTAATAGTAATAAACATAAGATTTTGTACTTGATTTCATAAATTGAACTTCACAAGTGAAAAAAAGCAGTATTTTTTGGAGAAACAGAAGACCTACAGGTTTTAGCTGGTCACTTAGAATTAACTTTGTGGTATGGCTGCCAAGGAAAGCCAGTTTGCTCTTAATATACACCAACAGAAATGTGTTCCCTGGGCTGAGAGGTGGTGCTCTGTTGCCTTCTGGCTAGCCTATAGCTAGAGTATCATACTCACAGGGAGTCCCTTCTCCCCGCAGCACTCAGATGAGCTCAAGATGCCCCTAGGTTTGAGAGAATGTGGGGGGGAGAGGGGAAGCAAGAATGTGTCAGTGTTGGGGTTCCTGGCCAAAGAGGATCCTTCCTGTCCCCTCCTCATGCTGAGCCTGGTGTCATATGTGGCAGGAATATAGAAAACCAGGAATGTATTCCTGGATAAAAATTCACACTAATGTCACAACTTGACAACACACCATTGGAGACAGAGTTGCTGGGCGTGTCTTCCTATGAAAGGGAAAAATCAAGAGAAGTGTTAGAAACCTCAGGAATTTGGGAGCTGTGAAGCAGAAGTGATTCTGTTGGGCACCGTTAGGCTCAGTGGGAGACCTGGCAGTGATGTCTCCTAGTCATTCTCAGGTTATAGGATCCTTTGGAAATCTAAATGAATGCTGCAGACCTCTCAGAAAATAACATTTCAGAAGGTTCGCAGAGCTCTGACATCCGTGGACCTTGAGATAAGAACTCTTGCTAGAATGGCAAAACACCACAAACATAGTCAAAGACACTGACAGATTGAGAGAATGTATTTGCAACATATATCGCAGATAAAGGATTTATGTCTCTAATATATAAATGAAAAACCTGATAGAGGAAAGACTTGGATAATTCACTGTGTGTGTGTGTGTGTGTGTGTGTGTGTATTGTACTTAAACACATGAAGAGACGGTCAAACCCACTCATAATTAGAGACGTGATTCCACTTTTTACCTGCGAGAATAGTGAAAACGAAAAATTATGACAACATATCTGGTTGGCAAGGCTGTGAAGAAAAAGATATTCTCCCACATTGACAGGGGGAATGCATAATGATGTAACGGTTCAGAAGGAGACTTTGATTGCTCCTAACAAAACTGCATATGTCCTGCCCTATTGACCTAGCATTGTTCTTTCTATGTATCTACCTGAAGACACACCTTCAACAAAGTAAAAATGTGTATCCACAAGGTTATTCTTTGAAGCATTATTTATTATTGAAAAATGTTGGTAGCATATGCCTGGGTTGAATATGTTGTAATAGCTTTGGGTCCAGGATACAAGACTTTAGTCATACTCAGTACAGACACAGAAAAAGTTCTGAATTGTCTGTTAGCTATAATACAAAGGCTCTTTGAAAGTACCTGGACAGGGGACATCAAGTAAGGAAACACAATGGTTGTTGATCACTTGTAGCATGTTATGCTGTTGGAAAACTTGTTTTTTAATGGCATATGTTTAAGAGACTTAACATTGTACAATTTTTATGACTTTACTTAAATGAAAGGCTATTGGACTAGCTGCCCATTAAGCTTACCTATTTCTCACCCTAAGAGTCTGTGATTCTAAGGGAAATTTGCAGTCGTGTGAAAGTACTTACTATTTGATGAAAAGGAAATCGTTGGAAAGAATTCATTGTCACTAAAGGTGAAGAAATCTGAACTTTGCACTTTCAGCAGTACAATTGGTGGCCATAAGCTGTTCTCCGGGTCTGCCAGGGCACTGTTGTCCCCACAGTGATGGCTGGCTCACAGTTCTTATCTCATACTAGAGGCCCGATGCATGAAAATCGTGCAAGAGTAGGCCTTCCTCCCTCCGGCTGCCAGCACTGGCTTCCCTCTGACACCCGGGACCTGGGCTTCTCTCTGGCCGCCGGCAGGCACCCAGGACCCGGGCGTCCCTCGAAGCCCCTGGACGTCTGGTCAATTAGCATATTATGCTCTTATTATTATAGACTATTGAAAGTGTGTGGCAAAGACGTGACCAAAGCATTGGTGCCATACTGCTGAAGCTTAAGACAGAACTTCCTCCTAAGTATTTTAGCAGTTCTCTTAGATAACTTATTGTGGGGGGATGCTATTAAATGTCTTACCCAACTAACATGGCCGGTGTCTTATGTAAAGTCACCAGTTGTTTCTCTGAATTGAGATAGGTGGAGGAAAATTCCTTTTTATTAAGCTCTGTTAAGATGACTTATAGTTGTCGTTGTCCAGCTGTTCCTTTCTAAATATGCAAACATAGGAAAGTGAGGGATCCATCTAGAAATACAGAAGTTTCTTTATTTTCAGTGTACTTTGCTATGAACATAATCCTGGCTATTTTCGCAAATGTCATGAAGTAGGAAAGATCTCATTTGCTCCATGTTGTGGACCCATAATTGCACAGTTCAGTGTAGAGGCAGTCCCATCCAAAGACGGGGGCCATCATCGCTGCCCTTCTGCTGCCCTTCCATCTGCCTCTGCCTCCAGCTCAGGAAGCTCGGGGTTGGAGGAGCTCAGCAGGGTCTGGGCTAATGGCTCAGCAATACATCAGGCCCCGAGGAGCTTCGGACTGCCCTGCTTATACAGCTGACAGCCTGATGTATAGTCATTTCTCCCCTTAAGTGTTTGTGTGTTTTTCCTGCTCTAAACTGGTCTCATGGGAATGAATAAGAGAATTGTATTTCCCCCCGCCCCCAGAACATACAGCAAGTTTTTAATGGGAAATAAGATTACAGACGAACAGTATAAGAATGGTTTTTAAGACCCTCCTAAATTCTGCCAAAACTTTGGAGAAGTCCCAGAAGCTGCGTTTTATTCCAAAGCAGTGGTCAGGGAGAGGGTGTGTTGGATGGGCAAGGCAAAGAATTTGTTTACTGTCAATTTGAAAAGCAAGTTGCGCTTACGTGATGTTTCTTGTGTCCAATAGTTGATAGAATGCTGCAAACTATAGCAGTTATTTCACTTGAGGTTGAAAGAGGGATCCATGGGAACTTTATCTTAAAAATCTATTCATTTAAAACATTTTGCAGGCAATGTTAGTATAGTAATGATCAGATGTCAGTATCTAACAAAATCTAGATGGTAGAAAGAAATGCTTAGAATTCTACCTCCTGAAAGTTAGAACATTGATAAAATATTGTAGGAAACATCGATTGGTTGCCTCCCATACACGCCCTGACCTACCGGGGTCAAACCCGCACCCTGGGTATGTGCCCTGACCAGGAATCGAACCTGTCACCTTTCCGTGTATGGGGCAACTCTCCAACCAACTGTCCCACACCGGACAGGGCTGATTCTCAAACTCCCCTCCCCCTCCACTTAAACTTTTAACCACTGGTTTGAACATCCAGGATGATGTTGGAGATAATACGTGCTTGAGATAATTATTACTGTGATTGTTGCCAAGTGGTGATTTTTCTATTCTCATCCTTCTATGGTAAGTAAGAGCTTTCTCTGCTCCCCATTTACAAATAATGTCAGTCTGGCATCATGCTATAATTCATACTTTTTGCAAACATGGTAATGTTACACATAAGTTATCTGGAAGGTATTTTTTTTTAAGTTCATGGTCTGCAAAAGTATACCACACTGAAGCTTATCTAGAAAATGAAAGAATAGACCTACTTTATATATGCCAGTCCATGCTAATCCCACCTCTCAATTTCAATGATGTTTTATTGCTGCCCGTGCTCACCTGTACTTGCCATTGCTCATTCGTTTTGTCTTCTCTCCTTTATGGGTTCTGTTTCCACCACAGAGCTTAAAGCCAAATGGCTGGGGGTGTGTGTGTGTGTGTGTGTGTGTGTGTGTGAAGATTTTTTTAAATGATTTTTAGAGAGAGGGGAAGAGAGTGGCTGCCCCTTGTCTGCCCCTCCTGGGCATCGAGCCCACAACGCCAGCCTGTGCCCTCACCCAGAATCGAACCAGCATCCTATAGGTACATGGAACAGCACCCAGCCAACTCCACCACACCGGCCAGCGCCCAAATGGCTTTTACCTGGTATTTTTTGTAAGGTTTTTAAAGTGTTACATAACTTATCAAAAGTTGTAATAATGATTTCACTGCCTGTAGATTTAGGTGAACACTATGCGATAGTCTGTGCTTACCAGTTAAATCACTGTGAAAAAAAATATTTTTTTATTCTTAGGGCAGGGAAAAAGAAATGACCCAGAAGGAGCTGAGTGTGAGCAGCTGTCTTTGGTCTATCAGTGTCTCCCAGCTGGTCAGTCTAACACAACCTTAACCTTATGGGGCTCCAAGCCATTTGCTGCACGCCGTGCACATTCTGCCACTGCCCTTCTCAATTTTCTGAATTCCTTCAGGAGGAAACTGGTTATTATTGGTGGTGTTTCCCCTTATCCTCTCCTCCCATGTGAAGGGGGATGAAAGAAAATAATAGCCCTTCTACGAATTTTTGGAAGAAACTTTGGAAAGAAAATTGAGTATGTATTTCGAATGGTTAGGGACTGAGATACAGTACATCAGACTTCCTGATATATTTTTTAATGAAATTAAGATTACATTGCAGCAATTTGTTTCTTGATTCAGAAGGTATTTATAGGGCTTTGGATGGATCTTCAGGCCAACATTTTAAACCTCTATTGTCCCGATCTTGGGAAAGTTGGCTTTTCCAGGTCAAATAGAGAAGTGAAAGTTTTTTTGTTTTTGTTTTTTGTTTTATTGCTTAAAGTATTACAAAGAGTATTATATATGTCTCCTTTTTTTTTCTCCCTTGAGAAGTGGAAGTTTTTATTGATTATACTTATTTAAATTTGAGGTTTCCTTCAGTTCCCAATCTTTGTGGCTACTAGTGAATTTCCAGAGTCATAAAGAATTCTCATTCATGAGCTCAAGTATTCAACAGAGCTCTGAGTCCTCCCTGACCACTGATCTTCCTGCAGGAGGACCTCCGGATGCCGTCGCATGAAGAACTGTTATGCATGGACCTCCCTGAGGATTGTCTGAGGATCAAAGGTATTTATCACAAATCTTCATACTGGAAATATTCATAAAATTGCAAATTTTTTCGAAAGTGGAGAGCATACTAAACCCCCATGTACCTCACTCAGTTTCAGTGATTACCAGCTTATGACCAGTCTTGTAGCTATTATTCCAGGTATTTCGGCTGAGGTAACTGATCAATGACTTCTTTAGTATTTAATTATTTAAGTAGTAAGAAGGTAGTCATCTAATAATAATATAAGCTGTTATATTGTGAGTCTGCTTTGTTAATGTTTTAGAATGGAAGCTGCTTAAGACTCTGAATTAGGCATGTCTTTTGTTGCAGTCCTTGGTCCTGCTAAGTAAGTACATTTAAGTAACACTTAATTACCTGTTCCAGTCAGGTACACTTTTGGCCTCTGTCATACTCTGCAGAGAAGAACAAAACCAATGGCATCGTGCACTGACTTTGCAATTCTTCTTCTGAGTTGGGCATTTTTGTTGTTTGTTGCATGATTACTTTGTTCTGCCTTCATGAATTTATTTTTTATGATTACATGCTGATTTGGATTTATTTCTTTTGTGCAGAAGGAAATGTCCAAATTACAACTGAAACTCTGTTAAAATCTACTGAACAAGTACAAGGTATGAAGGTCAATGGGACTCAGACAGATAATAATGATGGACACAAGAATGGCAATGTGAGTAAAGATCTCTCGGCTGGGCGCAGCGATTCCCCAGAAGTAGACAAAATCATGACCAGTGGTGAGGTTTCAGAAACCAGCACATTCATTTCCCTAGAGCCTTTAAACTCTGCGAACCTTGGATTAACAGAAGCAACTCCTAAAGAAAAAGTATGTGAAGAATTAAAAACTTGTTCTTCTTCGTTGTCATTATTACCAGGGAACAGTGCCATTTGCGAAGTGGACAATGGGAAGGAAGAGTTGTGTAAGTTAAGCCTTGTCTGTGAAGCAGATGACAATCACCACCAGATTGTTGGCCACCATAATGAAAAACACGGTTCTGCTCATGGCAGTCCCAGACCCATGAGAAATGTAGTTGTAGAACCCTTAGGAAAAAATTCTGAAGTTTCCTGTTTCAAATCAAGTTTATCTGGTCCAGAATCCAGAACAGCATCCTTAGAAAAATGTAGTTTTGCAGGTGATGGCTTGCTAAAGAGATCTGCTGAAAAGACAGAGAATTCCTGTTTTGATGGTGACGCTCAAAGCAAGAACTTGGCTTCTAGAGAAGAAAATGAAGAACAGTGTGTGAACTTCAGCTCTGAAAGAGGGGAATTCTTTCTTGTTAATGCCAAGCAACCAGAAGAGGATGCTGGTGGTCCTTGTTCTGTAGAAAAAAAGACTGTTGCCTCCCCAGAAGAAAATGTCCGCGATAACTATTGCATTCAAGGCAGTATCCACACAGACAGCTCCAGTTCTCTAATGCCCAAGTATTTTCCCAAAGCCACAGAAGTCACGTTTAAAAAAAAAGATTTGAATATCACTTCAGACATGCAAGTTAGCTTAACAGACCCTGAGGGCCATAGAGAAACTTTTACTAATATAAGCCATCTAGGCAGACACTCTGAAGAAAGCAGTTTTTCCTCCTCGATGCAGACTGAAGAGCCAAAACAGACAACCACTATCAAGCCTGGTATGTTAAGTGAAAAGATTTACAGTAAAGACCCTAACTCCTTAGTCAGCAACCAGAGAAATCTGGAAGGTGACACCCAGTTAAATGAAGCATCATATAGTGACTTTATGATTGAAAAAAAAACCCATGTGAGTTTAATGCCAGAGGACCAGATAAGTCTTGTAAATGAGGAATCAAAACCCAAGAAAGGTGCTGCTCAGCTATTACCATCTCTAGAATTTGGTTGCAGACCTGAGTCAGAAAAATCTGTACAGATCTCACAGGACAATATTCCACATTTAGATGAACAGAGCATTGCCTGTGAGTTGAATGAACGTCCCTCTGCTGATGAACTAGTTCTAGACAAAATAGAAAGTGAATGTGTTTTAAATCAAGTGTCCCTTAATTCTCAAGATCATGCGACATTGTCAACTGACAAAGAGTTGCCTTTAGCACTAAGCGAGGATTCCCAACAGAGCCATCACCCTCCATTAGAGGATGGAGCCAGTGTCCTTACTGATATCCAAACCATCCCCATGAAGACAAAAATGAAAGATATCTCTCCACCAGGTGACAAAACCTGTGGTGCCTCATCAAACAATTTCACCTTAAATATCAAACCAGGAAGCCTACAAAGAAAAAACAAAATGGCTGATTCAGGAACAGAAGACCTACATTCCAGACTTCTCTCATGTAAGAAAGAAATAGCAGTCTTGTCTCCAGAGGTCTCTATCATGGATTGTCAGAGTGTTCAACCTCAGCATCTCTCTAGCTGCCATTGTGTAGGGGAAAATGCACCAGGAGAGAGCACGTGTTCTGCGTGTGCTGCTTATGAGTCTAGAAGAATCATCCTGGAAGGTGAAAACTCACTGATGATCAACCATGAAAATGCATTTCAGCACAGCGATCACTATTCCCCAGGAAGAGAAGACTCCGTGGAAAGAAGCACCCATAAAGTGAGTTGTACATCAGAGGGAAGTGAACTTAATGGAAGAGAAACGAAGGGCAGCCTTCCAGGAGATAAGATCAGAAACGAAAGGACAGTAGGTATGTTAAATAGTGAAGCTTCCAACAGAACCATTCACGGCACCAATCACATCCAACCCAGTGAGGAAGGGCTAGAATTAAAGGAACAGGATATACCCAAAGAGACTGTGTTTTATAAATATAACAACTCTGATTGTGCCACACAAGAGCCAAACCAATCTATAAACATTCCAAATCCTGAAAAACGATTGGAGCTGTTTCCTGCTAAGTGCTCCAGTTTTAAAAACATGAATCAAGCAGTTAAAACTCTTGATCAGAAGACAGATGAAGTCCTTGACTACCGGAGTAACCCAGACAGACCAGATGAGTACAGAAGTGAAGATAAACCAGCTAAGGGGACACTAGGTAATGACCAGAGACAGACCATCACAGAGCCTAACACAGGGGAAAGCTGTAACCAGAAGAATCTGCCATTCAGTTCCGGCAATAACAACTCATTGTCTGGTGGTAGTCGGAAGAAAGGCTATTTGAAAGGAGGCTTTGAAAGGATTTCTAGTTGTGGTAAGTCCACAGATGGTATGGTAGACATCACCTGCACAAACTGTAATAATAAGCCTAGAGAAGGCATGCTGGACACACTTGGTGGTGTGCGGCAAGGTGGACTGGCATTAATTGAAACCTCAAGGAGTGCCCTGTCTCAGAGAGGAGACTTGAATGCTGCGTTTACAGGACAGATTGACCAGGATTCAGAATTCCCAGATGCTACTTCCTCTGCAGCAGAATCTCTTGAAATAAAAAAATCATGTGAAGAGAAAGTTTGCAGATCGTTAAACGATAGTGAAATGGAAGTGCATCCAGACCCTTGTGCCAATGAGATAGAGTCTATTGCAGATCATGAACCAAATACAAGAATATTGGATGGAGTAAATGTGTCTTTAAATCATAGTCATCATGAACAGCAAGTTAAAGAAGCATCTCTGAGAGAAACACAAGAAATGATTGAAAAATCAAGACTAGAAATACATTCTGAGTTTGACAAGGAAAATATCTTTGGAATTTCCTCAGAAGAGTTGGTGTCTAGAAGACACCAAGATGAGAACTCGGTTCTCCCAGAGAGCCTGAAATCCATTGAGATAATGCCATTGTGTCTATCTGCTCAAGAAGCATCAGAAGCTAATGTTAAAAGTGAAGAAACTGACATGAAAAATATTTTTAAACCAAAAGATGGTGAAATGCTTTGTGAAAATGTAGAGGATCGCACAGTCCCGCCTGAGATGAAGGAAGAAATACCAAGGAATAGGAGTAATCCCGGCGAAGGAAACAGCATTGACATCAGTATGAAAATGTTGCCTTTGATGATGAAAACAGAAACTAAAGTGAAAGGGGAAGAAGCCAAAAAAGATCAGAGGGGACCACCAGATCACGTACCTGTTGGGGAGGAATCTGACGAGAGGGTTACCAGAGAAGATGGTCATGGTGGTGACAGGAGTGAGATTTCTCAGACACACTGTAAATCCCTGAGGATGTATGGTGACGCTGAAGAACAGCAAAGCCAGAGGGATTTGGACTCCATGTTGCAGAAGGCAGAGGAATATGAACATCAGAAAGAAGCACAGACACTATTGGAACAATGTACATCATCTAATATGTTGTCAGATGAAGTGCAAAATCAGAACCAACCTAAGGATTACAAATGTGAGTACACCAGGATGAAAGAAGTCACCCCAGCACAGCTGGCCCAGGGTAACATTACCGCACGGCTTCAGAAGTTGAAAGACCCAAAGGAGGAAAAATTACGTCATCCATTAAAAAAGGACATTGAGTTGTGCGTAGGTCCTTGCCTTCATGGTGTCCCCCAGAAATCCCAAGACCCCAGCTCTGCCAGGTGTTACGAAGTACACGGTGCCTTTGGGAACACTTCCCATCAGAAAGGAGTGCTTCCCTTCAAGAAGCAGCCGCATCGGGCATGTAAGAAAGTTCCCTGTCAGGAGCAAGTCAGCATCGGGAGGAAAGTAAGTAAAATCAGGAATTCTGCCTTTTTAAAGAATTCCTCTGAGACCATCCCCACAAAAGCACACAGACTTCTCAGCTCACCTGCTCTGTCTGCACCCGCACGACTGGAACCCGACACAGTACCTAGCGGGAGCCTAGTTAGGCACATACCAAAGCAGAAGGCTACTCCGTGCCATCTCTTAAGGAGCCTGAACGTCAGGAAGCCCACCAAAGAATCAGCCTTACTCAGCAAGCTATCCGTCCTTGCCTCCAGGCTGGCCCCAGCCTCAGAGACCCACAAACTAAGGTATCGGCGGTGTTCTTCTGAACTCCTTCCAGTGGCTAAAAGCTACAAGCGGCTCAGATGTAAAAAGCTCCTGGATGGATTTTCAGACACTATGATGCAGCTGAATCCATATTTGACAGCTAGTGGATGGGATAGGAGGCCTAACAATAAACCCTTGACACTTTATCCACTCGAAGCCATTAAAATGAGCTTCATAGATTTGAGCAACAAGATGCCATTGCTGCTGTTGGGTTCTGGAATCTTCCCCATATCCTTTCACGTGAAATCAGGCTCCGAGTGCATGCCTGAGTCCCCACGGACTTTTCCTGAGCACTGTGCTCCGGCGAGGCTTGCCTTAGGGGAGGCCACCCCTTGTCCTTCTCAACCTCCCAAGTGGACCTTTTCCTTCTTCTTGTCCCATGGTTGCCCTGGGATGGCCACATTCAGGGAAGACACTGGCCTCCATGCTCAGGCACATTCCCAGGCTCCTCCACAGCCTCCAGCTCCTCTCCAAGACTACGGAGGCACCGCCATAGTCCAGACCAGAACAGGCTGTTCTGTCCTTGGCCTTCACACTCTCCTAGCACTTTGTTCCCCGGGATGTTACCGAATCTGGACAAAAAAACGGAGCTTCTCCAGTCACATGCCTACCATGCAGAGGCTCTTCATGACTCAGTTTACACAGGGCTTGAGGGGGTTAAGGTCTCCAGCCTCCATAGCAGACAAGATCTTCTGTTCTCTGCCCTATTCGGTGGGCCGAGTGCTGTCCGTTTGGAGCCAGCATGGGCCTTCTGCCTGCCCCTTCGAAACCTCTGCTCTGCATTCCACTCACAGCAAGCGACCGCCAACTCTGGACATCACAAGCAGGTAAACTGTCCCCTGTTCTTTGTAAGTGTTCCGTCTTTGCTGCCTGCCATCAGGGAGAGGGAGGGCCACTGCTGGATGTGCAGGGCTATTGGGAGCTGTGTCTGCATTCTTTTTATACCTTGCCCAGTCTCTGCTGAGAAAATGGGGCAGTAATTTAAATGCAGACCCCTCTAATTTCCTGCCGAATCCTTTATTTGGTGCCATTCTTTGTTCTGTTCCATTCATTCTGCAAACCATCAAATCTTTTGAATGTCTTTTCTCCTCTTGTCCCTACTCTGAACAGAACAACATGACAAGTTAAGTAGTGACAAATAATGGCTGGTAACTATAACTTGTTCACAAAGTATTATATAGCCAGCACCTAATTCAGAGTTTGGTGTGTAAAGGATACGAAGAAATACTTTTTTAACAAGTTAATTACATAGGCGTCACCAAATCTGGTTTGTGAACCTTTGCATTTCTTTCTGGAACAGAAAGGCTTCAAAGATTGGCATTTACATACTATAGTTGCAGAATTTATAGAATTTTACATGAACTTGGAAGAGAGTTATTGTGGTTTGACCACTAGGAAAATAATTTCACCAGTATCATTTTACCTTCTAATTGAAAGTTAAAGAAAAAGAATTGAGAGTTATATCCCTAAAGATCTGCTTTAGATGTAATAGATACATCCTCCCGTTTGTAACCCTTTGAGTAAATAGAGACTTTAAACATGTTTTATGTTGCCCATATGATTCTTTTCTCCTCCTTTCTCTTACTGTCCTCTGCTTATTTCTACCTTCTTTCCATCTAAGTGAGAAAATCATCTCCCTGTCCACCGGCCTCCATTCCAGTGATGAGCACATAAATGAAATGCTCCCAACTGGGAGATTGTCATCTTTCTGAGTTACTGACATTTCTTATCTTCCTGGGGCTCTAATTGACCATCATGTGCTAAACCCATAATGACATCAAAACATTTTCTGTTGTTCCACTGCCCTAACCTATTGCTCGTGTACTTTTGTTCCGCTTCAGCCACACCATGTTACCGTATGTGCCTCTTCCAGGCATGGAAGCTGCTTACAACACCAGTGGCGGTCAGATGAGGTAAGTCCAATGGTGCTGGCGCATGAGGACTTGCGGAGTGAGTGAGTGTGCGTGTGTGTGCGCGTGTGTGCGCGCGCGTGTGAGAGAGAGAGAGAGAGAGAGAGAGAGAGAGGGAGAGAGAGAGAGAGAATATGGTAGCGGATGGTGTGGATCAGGCCTGGTGTGATTCTGAGCTTTTGTTTTTCTTCTAAACCAGATTGAATCTTAGATTCAAATGTGTTTTATTATAAGTAACAACTAAGAATATGTAATCAATACCAAATAAGGGGGGGAAATCAAAATCACTTAGCCAGCTCATTATACTGTAAGTTCCCTCTCAAGCTATTTTTGGTCATTTAGCCCAACTTCAGTGCCTGGGTGGGATTGATCTCATCTGCCTACATTTCATTTGTTTCGTTCACTAAATGTCTTCTCCCTTCCAAAAAATCTGTTCCTTTTTACATTTTTCCTTATTCACTACTTTTTCCTTATTTTATCACTCCATACCAATGAAATGGATTGCCCGCATTCTTGTAAATTTTTACATACATAGACACAGGCTATGCCCAGATGTGACTAGAGATCAGGTTGAAATGTCATTGCTGGCAAAAGGCTTCAACCTAGTCTGGGGGTTAAGTTGAATGTGCTGAGGTAGAAAGTGAGTCCCATCCTTTCTCTTGTGTTTTTCTCTCGGTGCTGCTAGGCTAGAGCCTCCGTTCCCTGCCCTGGTACCAAAGTCGTGCTTGGTAACAGACTCGGCTGTCGGCAAGCTCCTGCTGTCCGCCTCTGAGTTCCCGGTTCCTGGGTTAGATGAACTGGATGGTGTGACAGCAGCGCGCCCCCGTCCACAGAGCAGCCCTCCAGAGCAGAAAGAGGTGAGTGTGAAGTGCTCCGGGGTCAGGTGGCAGAGGCACTGGAGATGGCCATCGATGACGACAGATCACGTGATAGGTACACATGGCCCTGACTGCCTTTACTTGCCACCTTTAGCTTCCGCTGCGTCCTGGAGAGCACCAAGAGGAGGTTTCTGTTTGTCCACTGCAGCTACCCTGGAGCTCTTAATCTACATTGTTTTCTGGATCTTTTTTTCTTAATGACAGAATTTAACACTGTTTAGAGAATTAGACCACAGCGCTGCTTCATGCATTCAGAGAGGATGAGTGAATGACGGCATTTTTCAGTTTTGCAATATCTGCTGTCTCCAACAGAGAATGATAGGGCTCTCTTTTAATATAAAGTAGGATAGTTGCTGAAAACACTGGTGGCAGGAGTAGCAGGGGAAGCTTTGTCATAAACTACTTATTAGAGTCATCTGTAAATGGAGGATGTGATATCTTGAGGGTGAAAAAAGGGACTTTATATTTTTTAAAACATCTTACAACTTGACGTATCTTTCTTTTTAACCCTTAAAAATAGGCTGAGCCAGAGAAGAGGCCAAAGAAAGTCTCACAGATTCGCATCCGGAAAACCATTCCTAAGCCAGACCCTAATCTTACCCCCATGGGCCTCCCTCGCCCCAAAAGGTGAGCTCTTTCCCTAATACACATAGCTTCACTCGTTTGGAAAATCGTTTGACATAATACAATGACCTTTCAGTGATCTACTAGTATACCCTTGAGCTATTTTACTCCTAAGGTTGACCCAAGAATATTCGTTGGCAGTGTGGCCAGAGACTTATGTGCAGAGGTATCTCACCACACTCCTAATCATCTGCATTGAGCTCACCATTGAGCTCACCATGCACCCTTTGGGTGGATACTCTCTCTGTTTGCCCTTCAGTGGTGCTGGGAGGAAAACACTGTTGTCACCCCAGGTGTAGGTAAGTGTGCTGAGCTTCCTGGGTTAGGAACCTGGTAGGCCATAGTGCCAGTCACGACACAGGTGGTTTCTGTCTCACACAGGTCTTACCCGACCCCACAGCTCAAGCTCACAACATTCTGTGCACAAAACTGGGAAGGGGCCTAAATGTTATGAAGGAAAGAATTAAATTTTTTTCGAAAATACCAGATCCATGTTATGGTCTACTTATAGCCTTAAAAGATTTTGTTTCTAAAGATTTTTTTTTTTTTAATATATATATTTTATTGATTTTTTTACAGAGAGGAAGGGAGAGAGATAGAGAGTTAGAAACATCGATGAGAGAGAAACATCGATCAGCTGCCTCCTGCACATCTCCTACTGGGGATGTGCCCGCAACCCAGGTACATGCCCTTGACCAGAATCGAACCCGGGACCCCTCAGTCCGCAGGCCGACGCTCTGTCCACTGAGCCAAACCGGTTTCGGCTCTAAAGATTTATTATTTTTATTTTTAAACTGGACCAACACGTGTCATAAACCATTTGGTCATTTTATTTATTTATTTATTTATTTTGTTAATCCTCACCCAAGGGTATTTTTCCATTGATTTTTAGGGAGAGTGGGAGAAGGAAAGACAGAAACATCGATGTGAGAGAAACACATCGATCAGTTGCCTCCTGCGCGAGGCCCGACCAGGGCTCGGGCTGTGGAGGAACCTACAACTGAGGTACATGACTCTGACCAGAACTGAACCTGGGACCCTTCGGTCCACAGGCCAACACTCCATCCACTGAGCCAAACCGGCTAGGGCTCTAAATATTTATTTTTTTATGACAGAGACCATTGCTAATCCTATAAAGTAAAGAGGGGAGAAAAAACAGATTCCAAATTATGTATTTAGCCTGAATCCAATTTTATGTGTTACACGGACACATTATGACAATTGAAACATTTTTTAGAAGGCCTCCAGAGCTCTATTTTCATGTAGTGGCTCTCACTCCTTCATTTCTCATTGGCAAATAGAAGCCTAACATGGTCCCTGAAGTCACCCCAGGTAAGTTATTTAATAACCTTCCTGAGCTTCTAGAAACTTTTCTGTAAAATGTGAGTGAAAATTCCCAATACTCAAGGTTGCTGTAAAGTCTAATAGAGATTCCAAAAAAATGTACTGTAGCTATTATACTGGTTCACACAACACATATGCAATTAATAGTTAATTTTTACTATGATCATGATTCATGCTTCACTTTTCCCATGTGGTTTTCATCTTACTGTATTTTTATCTTATAGTTCTATTATTGATCATTACTAAAATAAAATAGGATTCAGAATTGGATGTATTCTACCTTGTAGATAAAAGTTCTGAAAACCAGCCTGGCTGGCATGACTCAATGGTTGAGCTTCAATTCCTGAACTAGGAGGTCATAGTTCAATTTCTGATCAGGGCACATGCCTGGGTTTTGGGCCGATCCCCAGTGTGGGATGGGCAGGAGGCAGCTGATTGGTGATTCTCTGTCATCATTGATTTTTCTATTTCTCTCTCCCTCTCCCTTCCATTCTGAAGTCAATAAAAAAATATGTATATTTTTTAAAATTTCTGAAAAGCAGTTCTGGCTGGGTAGCTCAGTTGGTTTAGAGCATCCTCTGATAATACCAAGGTTGCGGGTTTGAGCCTGGTAAAGAAGAGTAAATCTATCTCTCTGTCAGTGTTTTTCAGTGGCTATCAATAGCACAAAAAGGGTGAAAACAAGGGTCATGTCCCTTGTGATGGAAACTACAGCACCATCTAAAAGTCTTCCTAGCCAAACACACCTTAATCTGATTATGCCTCTGTATTTAATTGCCTGTCTGTAGGAAACATCTATAGTATTCCCATATGTTTAGGTCAAAGAAGCATGTTAAATGACACCATGTAGATGGAATCAAGTAAAAAAATCTTGACTGGGGAATCCAGATTACCTGATTTATTCATCAAAGAAATTACAAAATAAAAAAGGAGACAAAATAGAGCACTGATAACATAAATTGGGACAGTACTGATCTGATTTAGATAGATCCAGGGTCTCTCGTGTTCCAGGGTCCTTGTGTTGTTGGGAGAAGGATAAAAATATTGATGCACTTTAGTTTCTATGTTCAATATACTCATAAAATTCTTGCCAACCACTGAAAGAATAGAAGAGTGTACGATTTCTAAGCCAGGAGATGGGCTGCAAGGGAGACAGCAGCAAGTGCGGCGGGGGCGGGGGGAGGTGTCAATTGAGGAGAAGAAAAAGAAGCAGTAAGTTTAGAAAATAGTTATAGATTCAGCTGTATCATTCCCAATAAGGATAAATGAGCTACATTTCATAACATTGGAGAGAATGGCAGCCTGGGGGGAAAATCCAGTATTACGTTCACATGAAACGCATCTAAAACATACTACAGAAAGGTCGAAAGTAAATTAATGGACAGAGTTAGGAAGCCAATCTTACCTCTTGTAAGAGACAAACATTTTGTTCTCATTTCAGGTTAAAGAAAAAGGAGTTCAGTTTGGAAGAAATATATACCAACAAGAATTATAAGTCTCCTCCTGCAAACAGGTAGGTACATATGAGTAGGCAGGAATACATGGGGAGGGCTTCTGACATGATCGATGTAAATCTCTAGTTCTTTAACTGCAGACAGGGTATGCTCAGTTCTTCCCATGTCAGGTCTTGGAAATTACTAGGATTGTTGCTTTTAGTTCCCAGCATTTGAATTGGGGTCGGTGGCGGGATGGGAAAGAAATGTGTATTGGGTTAGTTAATACAGAAAATGTAGTCTCCTTTTAGTTTGTACTAGAGTTTTTACTGAATATGCTGGCTGTCTTTTGGACTAATAATCACTGATATTGCATATGATTCCGAACACAGAGAAGGTTTTACTTGGCTGGCTTTGGGTCTAAATTCAGTTCAAGTCCTTGGACTGTATTCCCCTCCCCCCAAAAGTAAATATCTGAGGTGATGAGTGTGTTAACCCCAATATGTGAATCCTTTACCAGTGCGCAGTTATATCAAGTCACAGTATTATGCTTTTAAATATCTTACAGTTGTAGTTGTCAGTTATACCTTGATAAAGTTGGAAAAAACACACACACACATGTAAAAAAAAAAAAGATACTGGCCAGAGGAAATAGTTGCCTACGGAGTTGGTGCAAACAGCTCTCAGCCCCTGTTGACTAGACGTGTGGCCTTGAGTTGGTGTGTTGGTGATTGTTTTGTGTTCCACTCTTAGGTGCTTAGAGACCATCTTTGAGGAACCTAAGGAACGAAATGGTACGCTAATCTCCATCAGCCAACAGAAGAGGAAGCGAGTTCTCGAGTTTCAGGATTTTACTGTCCCAAGAAAGAGGAGAGCTCGTGGGAAGGTCAAGGTGACAGGCAGCTTCACCAGAGCCCAGAAGGCAGCCCTGCAGAGTCGAGAGCTGGATGCCCTTTTGATACAGAAACTAATGGAACTGGAGACCTTCTTTGCCAAGGAAGAGGAAGAGGAGCCATCACCTGGGTGTTGAGAAGCAGTTTGGTTGGGGCGTCTCAATGTTAGATTTCCCAGGCCTCCTGGGAAGAGGTTGCATCAGTTTGCCCAGTGCCCAAACCACTCAAATTGCAATCCATGGATTTTTACTGCTTCAAGGTGCAGCCTCTTTGGAAACTGGTGGCGGAGGGCCCTCTACTTCTACTGCTGATCTAGAACCTCAGGAAAGCGCCCTTCCTCCTGGAAGTGGTCCTGAGTGACATCGGGCCGCCGCCTCCCACACTCTGCCATCCACAGAGGAGGGCGCAGCGCACCTTCGACAACACTAGATCCCAAGGACTCCAGCACTGGCACGTCCCTGTGAAAGTTCCACGCTGTTTACGGTGGTGCTAGACCAAGATTGCTCACAGATGTTGCCTAGGGAGGGGGCCTGGCGTCCTCGCCTGAGTGGCCTCACAGCTCATTTCGGTAGCTGAGGAACGATGAGCCTGTGGTGTTTTCTAATCCTTTGAGTCTGTCTGCCCAGAACCTGGGGTATATGTGTGTGTATGCGTGTGCGTGTGTGTATATGTGTGCGCGTGTGTGTGCGTGTGCGTGTGTGTGTGTTTTCCCATCATTTTTTCCTCCCCTCTGTGACTGTGGGTCACTAGTGCCAGAGGGGCCATCCAGGCCCCATTCAGAGTAAGTTGCACTTTTTAACGTTGTGGTGTTATTTTCATTTGTTTTATTCCTTTTTTTTAAATTGCTGCATGTTCAGAGCCTTTAAATGTGATTTTAAAACAATTTTTTAAGACATTGAGGAGAAAGATAATACATGTCTGCAGAATAGATGGTAGGAGTTTGACCCAGTGTATCTGCATGGTCTGGGACAGTGGAGAGACACTTTTCCATCCACGTGTTTCAGCAATCCCTTCCCCATCTCTCTCTCTGCAGTTCATTAGAGGGAGTACTTTTTTCATCTGGGTTCTCATTCTTGCGTGCTAAGTAGATGTATTAATTTTAATGACGGAAGTAAGAGCAGGTTTCTCTCCCAATCATTTTTAAAGTGTGATGGTTGGGTGTGGTCTTTTAATGGATTTTATCTGAAGTGTTGGAATGTAACAAAGTTGGGAACAACAGTATAGGCGGTGGTAGAGGCCGACCAGTGTGTTTGCAGCTGTCGGAGCAGCCGGCCCTGAGAGTGGGGAGGGGCCACCGCGGTTCAAGCTCAGTGGTGTGTTCTTGCGGTGGGATCACGAAATCCCACGGCTGGCCGGCCCCTCTGAGGACACCTCTTTGTTCTCTGGGCTCCTGTGTCGAACCTACTGGAAATGTAGAATGCCCGTGCTTGCTGAGCGTCTTCTTTTGTGCCCACAGGAGTCTGGGCAGAAGGATGCTGTGTGGGTTAGCAGTCCCAGAGGTTCATTCCTTTCCCACTAATCCCTGTGTGCCCGCACCCTGCTTCCCCTGCCCTTCTTCCCTTGTGTTTCTCTCTCTCTCTCTCTCTCTCAAAACAAGAGTTCAGAGAATTACATTCCTTGGCTGGTGAATGGAGTACTAGACGCAGCCTCCGGACACCGGTCACCTCTCCCTGTCCTCCTCAGAGCCACTGCAGAAGCTGCTGCCAGTGGGAACTGTCCCGGCGCCAGGCACTTGCCGCCAGGCTGCTAGAGGAGAGAGAGGCGCCCTGGGGTGTGTCTCCTAGGTTTCTGTGGCTCCCCATTTGTCAGTGGGGAGACGGGTGGGGTGGGAGGTCTCTATGTGCCTTTCCTTTGCAGGTTGACAGTCTGTGCCACACTGGAGCAGTGAGACGGACATGAGCCGGAAAAAACAAAGTGCACCTCTGTCTTGGGCCCCTGTCTCAGACAGCGCCTAGTAAGTCCCATACACACCTGGGAGTCCCGAGGCTTCTCAGGCCACGGCCAGCTAGCGTCAGGAGAGAGCGGGCTTCCCCCGGCTCTGAGTGAGCCCGTTCTGCCCTTGCACATCCACTTGGCCTAGAGCCCTAGACTGTATGGACACGACCTGTGTTCACCTCGGTACTTCTCCCTTCCTGGGACAGGGCCCCTAACGCTTCTGTCTTCTTGCTTTAGGAGTGGGTGAGTGATGCCATGTGCCCTTGTCCAAACGTGTTTAGGGAAGTACTGCTGGACACGCTTGCAAACGCCCAGTGAGTCCACAGAGCCCTGTTTGCCAGCGCCCGTGCGGTCTAGCCGAGTCAGTGATGTAGCCACGCATCCTGCAGGCTGAGGTTGAGATGGGCGCACTGTGGTAGCACCAACTTTACAATTACGACTTCAAGTTTGCCCGTTAGCAGCAGGGCATTTTATGAGCCAGCAGGAGTGACTTGGGACATTGGTGTCTGGGAAGGGAGAATTGGAGGAAATGGAGACCTGGGTTCCTTCCTCGTCCTGGGAATGTGGGAGAGAAGCTGCTCTGAGGCCAACCTGTCTATCCCTGAAGTTCTCGGCATGCCCTCTGGTTAGGGCCTTTCCCCGCCGCAAAGTTAAGAATGGGTCCCCACTGCGAACTTGCCGTTGCTTGCCTAAAGTCGCTAGAAGGGTTCTAGCCATGCTCAGGCACACGTGTCTTACCTCTGTCCTCCCCATTGGCTAGCAAGCTGCAGCGCTGTTGGTGGTCCTCGGAGCCTGTGGGACCCGCCAATGATTGGGGATGTGAGTCAGCTGCTGGCACACGGCCTGCCCCGAGTGTCTGGTTCTGGTGGGCCCTGGTACAGTTCCTAAGTTTGGGGACTTCCTTCCGAAGTGGCAGGGAGTTCTAGTTAACCGTAACTTACTCAACTCTGGTGTAGTGTCATTAATGTGGGAAAGAGGAGAAATCTCAGGTCCAGTTGGGGTTTCACCCGTCAGTTTTTCACCGAGACTTTGAACTAGGGGTTTTCTCGTCTTTTAGTTTACAGCTGTATTTGCTTTCCCACCCACCTTCCCCATCTCTGTTCCTTTGGCCTCCTTTCCAGCTTCATTTCTTCATACCTCATCACCTTTTAAACCAGATTATGTCCACTTTTTCTTACTGACCTTGCTCTGAGAGCTACAGCTGAGGGAGGTACAGTGGAAAGACATGTAGCGTTTGCCTTATTGGAGCCTGAAAAGCTCAGAAACTCATGCTGTGAATCCCAAAGCTCTGCGCTCCTCCGAGAGCTGTGAAATCATGACACTTCGTCACATTTTTGCCTGAAAGAGCCTTGATGGGTGCCAGAGCCAACCTGAGGTCAATTCCAGATCCCACCCTCCAGGCACGACCCCCCGTCCCCCACGGCTCCATCCCTGCCCGCCAGGCCAGGAGCTGCACCAAGGAGGCAGGGCTGGGGTGGGTCCTCGAGCTTTGGGCAGCCTCGTGGCACACGGAGCCCGCGGTCGTCTCCAGGCCAGAATGCCACCTCACAGTCCCATGTGCATCAGCGTCCGCAAGAGACCAACTTTCGGCCGTGGTCCTTTTCTCCTGCTCCCTGGGTGGGAGGGTGGATGCAGTTGGTGCTTTTAAAATTCTCCTGTTTTGTTTCTGTAAGCTTTTCCCCTGGTATCATGGAAAGGACCTCCTCATCACCACCTTGTGGGTGGCTGTATCCAAAGTCTAAATAATTGGCCAGATAATGTGGAGCAAGCTTTCCTGAACTCATGGGAGGGAAGGGCTCCTGCACCACAACTGAACTTCTTACGTAAAAGGCTGGCTGGGGAGGAAGGCTCCGTTTTATCACAATCAAATGTAATGGTCTCCAACCACAGATGGAGCAGCAAAGGCTATTCGATGGTAAAGTGAAGGCCCCCGAGTAGTCCACCATCCAGCACAGCATAGTCCGATCTGATGCTTGTTCGTTGTGTGTCTTCACGAGTCCCTCTCTGGTGCTGAATTGGATTTGAATTTCGGTGAGAGGCCTCCGCATCTCCTTGGGCTGGGCTGGCCAGTGAGTAGCTGCCTGCCGTGTTTATATATTATCACGATCAATAGTTCAGTGAGATTTTGTACATTTTTTGGTGACATTGGCATACATGATGCCCCTGCAGCTCCTGTTCTGTTTGGTAGTTTGTGCCTCTAAAATTCCCACTGTTATGTGTGTTAATTTATGAAAATAAAGAATTTTTGAAGCCTTTCAAGTAACTCTCCAGGCTGTTATTTTATTCTTATGGCTTGGCATTAATAAGTTAAAATTCTGCCTGTAATGTCATGAGGCTGGTTTTTTTAAAATAGACATCACAAAGTTATCATCAGAACAGGCATCATACCCTCCAAAGCGGCCACCAGGTCCTAAGGGCTGTCCTGTGCTCAGGACGTGTGGCACTCTACCTTCACGTGCCTTCCGTGCTACCATGAAGCTTTTCTTCCTTCCCTTCTCTTTGTTCCTTTTGTTGTTGTTGTTAATTCTCATCTGAGAATGTTGTTTCCATTGATTTTTTAAAATTGATTTTAGAGAGGAAGAGAGAGGAACATCAGTGATGAGAAAGAATCATTGATGGACTGCCTCCTGCACGTGCTCTCCTGGGGATCGAACCCACAACCCGGGCATGTACCCTTGCACTTGTTTGGTTTCACCATTACTTGAGGAGTATTCTACACTTTTCCTCTGTTTAGAAGGCAGAGGCTAGTCATCAATTAAGGTGGTGTTATTCCTTTAACATCTTCCATCTCAGAATCTTAGCATGGGTAGGTCCTCCTGAGAATAAGAGGACTAGTCCAAACTGTTTTAAGAATTCTCTCAACTCCTGGACATGGACAACAGTGTGTGACTGTGGGGGTTGATAACAGGGCATAGAGGGGATAAATGGTGATGGGAAAAATTAAATTAAAAAATGATGGTCTTAAAAAAAGAAAAGGTCTCTGGTGTCCTGCCCTCTGCTAATATGGAGACCTCGTTTCTGCAGTTCCTTCTGGGACTTCTCTTGAGAAATGTTCTAGAAAATTCTTCAAGCAACTTCCAGGGGTCATAGGTGAGTTTTTCATAACCTCAAATTCCAGTGTCTTCTCCCTCCTTACTGACAGTTGATAACTTTGCATTTCACTGAGATAGAACCTATTTGAATAGAACTTGCACACGGAACCTTTGCAGTTACTTGAACAGACTATTGTAAAATACAATTTTTAACCAATTTTTTTTAATGGAGAAAAGGGTCCATTAAGGCAAACAAAGGGGCCACAAACGCAGTAATGCAGCTCAGCCCCCACCATTCAGTTTGCAAAATCACAGGGATTGCATGCTGGTTCTTAAATGTTAGGCTAATTCTGCCCCCTAGTGGCAGTAGGGACATTCCGAAGAAAGCACTGCCCAGGAGCTGTTGGTCATTCATCATTGGCAAAAAGGGCAAATCCAGCCTGGCCTGGGTGGCTCCGTGGTTGAGCATCCACCTGTGAACCAGGAGGTCACTTTTCAATTCCCGGTTAGGGCACCTGTCTGGGTTGCAAGCTCGATCCCCAGTGATTCTCTCTCATCATTGATGTTCCCCCCACCTCCCACCTCCATTCCTCTCTGAAATATATTAAAGAAAAAGGGCAAATCCAGCAGCAAGAGATAACAATCTCGAATTCTCATAAACATTAAAATATGTTAGACAGCCCTAACCAGTTTGGCTCAGTGGATAGAGCGTCGGCCTGCGGACTCAAGGGTCCCGGGTTCGATTCCGGTCAAGGGCATGTACCTTGGTTTCGGGCACATCCCCGGTAAGGGGTGTGCAGGAGGCGGCTGATCGATGTTTCTCTCATCGATGTTTCTGACTCTATCCTCCCTTCCGCTCTGTAAAAAATCAATAAAATATATTTAAAAAATAAAATATGTTAAATAAAAGTTGTCATAACTAAAAACACATAGCTACACATGGAGGTATGAACATCTCTGCCTCCACTGGCCACGCTGCTCCCCGGCCCGGGTTTAGGACAGCCGGAGCAAGCCCCGCCCACACCTGCCCAACCCGGCTCGGGGCGGCCAGAAGCCCCTCGCTGGTCGGGCGGGGAGACCTGGGGGAGGGACTCAATCGACTCCGCCCACAACCCCTCCGCGTTCCTCATTGGCTCCGTGAGCTCAAGGCTCGCGACGCCACATGCGTGCGCCGCTCGTGCGGAAGGGGGCGTGGCCAGTGAGAAGGAGGAGGCAAGATGGCGGCTTCCGTGGGGCAGCGGTGCCTGAGGTTGCTGCGTGAGGTCGCGCCCTGGCGGAGCAGGTACCGTGCTTGGAGGGGGGCGGCCTGGGCCCAGCCGGGGTCGGGAGGGAGGAGTCGTGTTTAATCGCCGGCTCGCCCGGGGGGCCGCTCCGGGGGCGACGGGGTCACCCGCCTTCACCTCGAGCCCGGGAGCAGGTGCGGCTGCCGCCGCGTAGGGCGGCCCGGCTTTAGTCGGGGTCTTGCTAAGCGCCCGGGCTTTGCCCTCGCCCGCTACACGTGCACAGGGACAAGGGAAAGGAAGGGAAAAGGCCAGAGGGAGGAAGCCCGTGCCGCCCTGGAGTCGAGGCGGGACTGGCGCCTCTCAGGGGTTCGTGTTCCTGGAGGGGACGGGCGGTGTGGCGTGGGGGGAGCACTGGACTGGGAGTCCTCGGGCGGCTTTCACTTCGGAGTCTGGTTCTTGGAAGCGGGGGGTTTGAGGCCCGTAACCTCCAAGTAGGATGGACCTGGGGTCCCCTGTACCGTGGCGACTCCCACCTCGGAGGTGCTGAGAGCTGGAGGGCACCCCGAGGCGCCGTCCACGTCCGGCTCTTCCTGGAGTTGGCGAAAGGGAGGCCCCGGGAGAGAGGCCTCGCTCGCGTTCACCCAGCCAGTTAGTAGCAGAGCCAGGACTCTCTCTCTCTCTCTCTCTCTCTCTCTCTCTCTCTCTCTCTCTCTCTCTCCCTCTCTCTCTCCCTCCCTCCCCCTCTCCCTCTCCCCCCTTCCCCCTCCTCTCCTCTCCAAGGACCTCAGGCTGCCCGCCGTGTGAGCATTTATTATTATTATTATTATTATTATCATCATCATCATCATCCCCCATAGCTCGGGAACAGTGGGACTCTCGGAAGATGCATGAGTGTTGGCAGCTGTGACTCAGGGTCAGCCGCTTGGTGTTTCTAAGAAGGGAGTTTGGACGCTGGGAAACACGTGTGTTTCCGGCCGGGTTCCTCTCAGAGGCGTTGCCCAAAGCCACCCCTCGCGGTACCTTTGGGAAGCTAGAGACACGGAATTTGCTCTGCGAGGGGAGCAGAGCTGTCCTCGGCCTGGACGCCAGAGCTCCCCTCCCCCTAGGACTGTGCAGCGGTAGCGGGTCGCGCGGAGGGGCCTCTGCAGCGGGGTGGTCACTGGCGGGATCTGGGCAGGTGGGGCCCTGTGGTTTCAGTGTTATTACCAGGTGTGCTGCTTGCGTCAGCCATGAATTCTTTTAAACTCTGTCATGAGTTGGGAAGACTAAAAAGTGACATTCCTAAAATATTTTTTAAATGAGGAGGAGGATTTACTCATTGTCATTAAAAAACGGGGAAGTCGCCGGGCCAGCGTCACTCACTCGGTGGTTGAGCGTCAACCTTTGAGCCAGGAGGTCACGGTTCGATTCCCAGTCAGGGCACAGGCCCGGGTTGCAGCCTCGATCCCCAATGTGGGGCCTGCAGGAGGCAGCCGGTCAGTGATTCTCTCTCATCATTGATGTTTCTCTCTCTCTTTCTTTCTCTCTCCTTCCCTCCCTCCTTTCTTTCCCCTTCCTCTCTAAAATCAATAAAAATACATATTTTTTTAAAGGGTGGGATGGAGTTACACTTTTAGTACCAATGTAAGTACGAAAGACTAGATTTAGGTGCAGTGATTGGGAAGGATAAGGACTTGGGTACAAGGAGATGTCTCAATATTCAAAGGTATTACTTATCAAGACAGAAGGAAACTATATTGATACAAAAAACTAAAAGGTAACATTTTCTTGAGTTTTCAGTAAAGCAGCCTCTGAGAGACACACAGATGCAAGCCCCATATCGCAGGGAAGTTTTTCAGTAACTGGGTGATGTGCGACAGGTGATAGAACACGGAGAGAGCAGCATCTCGGGTGACAATTTGGGGCCATGTTTGATGAAAGAACGGGGGAGATATGTATTAGAAACAGAGACCTCCATCCTGCTGCCACGTTCAGGCTCAGTAGGTGAGGCTGGGCTCTTGGTGCCCGATCCGCTCAGGTTCGGGCCAGTATGGACGTGACGCTCGGGGCGTGGTTGGCTGTGTAAGACGTGCATTTACCAGTGTATATGGCGCCAGGGACTGTGGAAGAGTAGCCTGTACAGTTCAGTAGGAGAGAGAGAAAACACCCTAGGAAATTATATAAGATAGAATATGAAACGAGGCTGTCAAGAGGCCTGCCAGTTCATTTTCAGAATTTTCACAGCTTTAGAAGCAGGAGAGAGATAACAGCTCTAGTTACAATGTTGTCACCAGAGGTGATGTTAAGAATATTTGTAGGCTTGTCCGGGTAGCTCAGTTGGTTAAGGCGTCCTAATGCACCAAAGTTTCAGGTTCGATTCCCAGTTCAGGGCACGTACAAGAAGCAAGCAATGCATGCATAAATAAGCGGGCAGCAAATCAGTGTTTCTCTCCTTCTCTCTAAAAATCAATAAGTTAAAATTATTTTAAGGATATTTTTATAACTATGACAATATGGGCACAGACCAGTCAGCATGGACACTGGTCATAGACAGTTGACACGGCCATCCCAGTGTGGGCCAGATTAATGTAAACTCTCTTTCTTTTAATATATCTATAGCAATACATGTAACTTTTAATATGTAGTAATGTGTAACTAGGGGCCAGGCCTTGGGCTGAGGGGTTTGCATGATTGTCTCACTCTTAATGAGACGTCGGTCCTATTTTTACAGGTGGAGAAACAGGCTTGGAATTAGTTAGGAAATTTCCTAAAGTCACGCAGCTAATACGTGGTAGGCCTGAGATTTGAGCCCCACAGTCGGACTTGAGTGCTTAATCACAGGAGGGGCTGCGATCACCTGCTTCCGGACACCATGGGAGAGACAGCCGGTGATGGTCCATTCCTCCTCTGGGCTTCACCTCATTGCTGAGATTTAGTCCATTGAGAAGACAGACCACCCCTGCCTTCATCCGGGTTACAGCCAGCTAACAATTAAGTGAATAAATATATGCAATCTGTTTCTTTC